GATACAATACTCAGTGGTATAGCCCTTGCCTGGCATGTGTGAGGCCCTGGGTTAGATACTCAGCACTGCAAAAACAAACAAAACATGGCTTCCTCACATGAATTTTGGAGGTAGAGGTAAGTTCAAATCTCTCCTTTATTGCTTGATAGCTACAGGCCCTGGGATAATGTTACTTCACTCATTTGGATCCCCATTCCTACATATAGCAATCAAAGAATTGTTGAAAGATTAAATAAGGGATTTTTTAAAAACTTTGCATATTGTAAAAGTTTAATAGCTATTAGCTTTCTTTTCTCTTCTTCATCCTTTCCCATAGCAAATGGGCAAAGAAAATACTAAAAATCTCAGGGGAAAAAAAAAAAAACAGAAAAGAAATCTTCAATTATGACTTTGTTTTCACTTTTTTAAAAAATTATTTTATATTTTGGTATTGGGGATTGAATCTAGGGGGGTTCAGCTTTAGCACAACCCCCCAGTTCTTTTTATTTTTAATTTTGAGACAGTGTCTCATTAAGTTGCTAAGGTCGGCCATGAACTTGTGATCCTCCTGCCTCAGCCTCCCCAGGCTCTGAGATTATAGACGTGTGCCAGAGTACCCAGCCTGTTGTTACTTTAATCTGATTCTGGATGCCTGGTATAAATTTTGAATCTGGTAGAGAAATTCTGTGGAGACAGAGATTATCTTTACAGCCCTTGCCCAGCATCTGGAAACAGATAGATGTTAGGTAAATGCTACTTAAATAAATGAATGTTGGATTTAATAGAATCCAAAAATGGAATACATAAGAAACATTAGGTCAGAAGTACCAGGATGTGAAAGTTGTCGGAATCAAAATGGAGTCACTTGTGTCAACCCTTACACAATAAAGTAAATAAAGCCAGGAGGACAGGAAGGAAGGATTATTGTGCAAGATTGCCAGATGGTAACTATGCCAAAGACTCTGCAGAACTACAACCTTACACAGAAGCCACCACAACCTTATACAAAAAGTATTTCTACAAGGACATCTGCCCAGCAACCGTCTTCAGCCTCAGACTGATACCACTCCTTGTTATTAATGACTGTGGCCAAGGACTATTGTTATACAATATCTGATGTAATCTTCATTTTTATCTTTAAAAACTCCTCCTTGTCACTCGATCTTATTGAATATGCCCATGGTTTATCATATGCCCAAACTACATTTCCATAGTTTGGTACGGACATGGCAGTGCTCTACGGTTCCCCACAAAATACTTTCCCCAAATAAATCATCTTTGGACAATCTCTCTCCCTGACTTTTTATAAATTTAGGTTGAACACGGTACGGGAGTTAGGGTGATCTGCATGAACAGGGTCAAAACAAAGTTTGCAGGCCACAAAGACCTATTCTGCAGAATGACTTGTGAATCTGTTTAGACAACTCTTTTTTCCTAAGTTGCAAAGCTCAAGGTACTCTGTCCAAATACTTCTCCCCCATTCGAAGGTGGTTTACTTAGAAAAAGGCTGAAACCGCCCACAGAGAGACAAACACACTCATCTGTCTGTGAGAAAGCATACACAATTTGGGTTTTCACAATTCTCAACTGAGCACAGAGGATTCAGCCTAAAAGGACAAACTAAATAGATGTTTGCATGATGTAAACAAGACGTCCTGTCGGAGTGTTTTAAAATGTGAAATTCTTAACATTTCCTGACCCTGTTGTGGGTGGAGAGTGGACTAGGGAATGAGTAACTATTTCTATTAAATTTTAAAGGCACACCTCATATTGAGTTCCTTCACAGGTGTGCAAGAAGGAATGTGAAAACCCAGGACTTTGTATTTTCGGTTGACAGAAGAAGTGTTAGAATCTCTGCTACAGAAGGTGCCAGGTCAAATGAGAGAGCTTCTCCCAGCTAGCAACGCTGCCATTCCCAAACAGTAGGCTTGGGACTGTGGTCACCTTGTGCTATTCCCATTCTGCTGCTGATAGGGTGACTTAACTCTCTGGAAGGTTGAAAGCTCCTATCTCTCTTCCCCTAACTTTATCCTCCAATGAAAGAAAATCCAGGACTGCTGAATCCACCATCAAGACTGCAAATGTGATGTTAAAATCCAGTCACATGGCCGTTAAGGATAGGAGATCAGTAAATGTCATTCTCAATACCTACTTTTAAATTTCCCCAAATAAAAGAGCTATCTGTTTCCCTACAGGGCTTAAATCAATTCAATCTTCAAAACATTCAACCCCATAGGGGAAAAGTGGGGAAAGGATTTTTTTTTTTTTGCTTGTTTTTGGGCTAAAGGTGACCTCTCTGTTTGCTTTCATTGATGGTTTATGCTATTGCCGAGTGGCAGAACTCACACTGGTTTTGTAAATCGCATTCAACTCACCTTCCTGCTAAAGAGAAACAGAATGGAGATTTGCCTTTAGAGAAATTTTTAGAAAACTTCTGTCCCAAATAAAAATTTTCTAAGTGAAAGGTTGCATTTTTCTAAATGAGACAACAGGTAGTCGCAAACAGGCCTATGAGAACTGGGGGTTACAAGGCACTTGCTAAACAACCAGCCAGGTCTGCCTGTGCTTAGGAAGAAGCAAGAGTTAGAGGCAGTGGTCCTGCTATAGAAGGACCCCAGAAATATTTGCTTCAAATATTTGGAGAAGACAGATTCATAGCATGCCCTGGATCAGAACTGCCCTGAGATGGAAAGATTGGGAATAATTCCCCTTCCCCCCAAAAGAAAGAAAGAAAGGAAGAAAGGAAGAAAGAAAGAAAGGAAGAAAGAAAGAAAGAAAGAAAGAAAGAAAGGATGGATGGATGGATGGATTAAGGGGCTGGGGTTGTGGCTCAGAGGTAGAGCATTTGCCTAGCACAGGTGAGGCCCTGGGTTCGATCCCCAATACCACATAAAAATAAATAAAGACATTTTTCAAAAGTGGAATTCATCTTAATAAAGAAAAACGATTAAGATATGAGTTATTTATACCAAGAGACTTCTTGGAAATACAGAGCAAGATTTCTAATTCATCGTACTGGACTTGGCCCTAAACACCAGGGAAGGAGTTTGGCATGAAGCATTGTCCCTGTTGTCCTGGCTTCAGCTTGTGTAAAAGAAGGTAAGAAAAGCGCCAAGAACCCCTGCCCCATGGTCCTGCAGTTATGCAGCATAGAGGATGCCGCACTCTAGGAACGCTTGTTGGTCCAGCTAAAAACTCCTGCCAAATTCTATGACACCCAAATAGTCTGATGCCCAGGGCCTGTGCCAGAGAGAAAGAGCAGCATTCCTGAAATCACAGGTGGAAACTGGTGAACTGACACAGGTTCAGGAGTGACACCATCAAAGCAGAGTGTCACCCACAGTCACAATCACCCCATCACACTGCCAGGCATATCCAACAACCAAACCACCCAGAGTCATAAAGGCCCCTTGGTCAGAAAATCACAGCCTCCTGCACGGTTGGGTCCAGCTAGATACAAACTAACACACTCAATCCCCTTGGAAAGATGCCCTCTCCTTTGAAGATCCATCCACTCACCTGATTGCCAAAGACAGCCACGGAGCAGGCTGTTGAAACCTCATTAGCCCCGAACCAGACTGAAGCGATGCGGGAGGGCATGCCCAGGATGAAGACTTGGGCCACGGAGCAGATGACCTGGCCTAGCACAGTGACCGGGAAGAGGTGCGGCTTCAGGCTGCCCAGCTTCACCCAGGCTCCCAGGCAGTTGAGAGCTGAGCCAGTGAGTGCGATGGTGCGCAGACCAAATTTCTCCAGCAGCCAGGCCACGGGCAGGAGCAGAGGGATGTAGGTCAGCATGTAGCACATGGACAGCCAGTCGATGGCAAAGGCACTAACTCCGTAGAAGTGCATGAATATGTTATTGATGGAGCTGTATTGGATCCACTGGAAGGCGTTGCACATGGAGTAGCAGCTGAACACAAGCACCACAGCCCAACGGCGCTTGCTCAACTTGATCACACTGAGTTCCTGACATGAGCTACTGGGGTGGTTCAAGCCACCAGGTTGCGCCGAGGTACTGGGGTGCACCGAACTGCTGGGGTGGGCCGAGACGCTGGGGTGGATGGAGACGCTGGGATGGATGGAGACGATGGGATGGACCGAGACGCTGGGTTCTGCCTGGAGAGCTTTCTCCAGCACAGGGGGGTCATTGAGCTCCTCCAGGTTGGGATTTTCATTCACCATGGCCACAGCCTCCCCGGGAGCCCTGGACAGGTGCTGACTCCGGCACTCGGGTGGGATAATGGCTGATGGGAAACTTGCTCAGGAGCGCAACCGTGCACCACAAGAAACGGAGAGCCGAGCTGTGTAAAAGCAGTGGATAGTGCTCCCTGCACTCACCCCCAAACTCCTGCTCTCACTTTTTCTTGGATCTTGGTCCCCACCCGCGGCAGCTGCTGTCCCCAGGCCGGCCTCAGACGCGTCAGCCCGCTCCTGGCCGTTCCTGACTTGGGCTCCTCTAGTTGTTCTTGGTCCTAGTAAAAGTTTGCTCCTTGGACAGCCACTTCGCCGGCTCCGTTCACTCCGGGGCCCGGGGCCTCGCCCCCTTGGGCGCACGTGACCGCCCCGCCCCCGTTCCGCCCGGCTTCCCCCACCCCGCTAACTCCCTCCCACCCGGTGTCCCCTGTCTTCTCGAGCCGGCCCGCAGGGCAGCTCGGTTGTTTCGCCACAACTTGCGGGGTGCATTCCTCCCCCACGCCCCGGGCGCCATGGAAACCGCCCGGTTAACTCCCACCCCTCAGCACAGCCTCTGAAATTCATTCGTCCCCCTCCCTGTGAATCCTCGCAAGAAGATCCCCTGCGCTCTCCCGAGGTAAGAGTCTGGGGACGAGTCCGCACGCCCAGCCCGCGCGCACGGAGACGTGCGTCCCCACCGCCCCCACGGTGCACTGGGGAATCGAAGGCGGATACCCAGCTTTCTCCCTCTGGGCTGGCCTCCCGACCCCTGGCTGAGCCTTCAGTGTAAAGGGACATTTGAGGCTGAGCTCCTGGATTTAAGGAGAGATGCAGAGAACACGCTCTTATGTGGGGCAACTCATATTTGAACTTAAGTAGGGCTATTGTGTCCTGATGGGTCTCCGCGACCTCCAACGCGGGGACCTGGAGTGGTAGGGAGACAAGACGTCGGCGAAGTCGATCGACGAAGCTGCGGACGGTGGCGGTGGGGAACTGTGTCGCTCCGCGCTGGCTCTGGGCGTGGTGTTGGAAATGGTCTTTGCCCCCAAGTAGCCCTAGGCTGCCACCTGCCGGTCCCAGGCCATTCCAGAGAGTGAACCCTCACCTAGTCGTGGCCAGACGTGCAGGCCTGCAGGCTTCCTCCATTTCGGCCAAGGCAAGTGACAGTGATGGAGGCCCAATTGTCCCTGGGCTCAGACTCTTGACTCAGCGACTCCTAGGTGTGCAACTGCAGATAAAGTACGTCCCCTCTGCACCTCAGTTTCTTCATCTGTACGATGACGACGATGAAATAGTGCCTACCTGGAAGTATTGCTTGAGGCTTGAATGAGTTCATACAGGAATGTGTTGAGAAAATCCCTGGCAGATGAGTGTTCTGTGAGTCTTGGCTATCCTAGCAAAAAGCTAGTATTTGTTACACTGTGCTAAACAGTAATGCATTATCTCATTTAAGCATCACAATCACAGGTCATTATTATTGCTTGCCTTTTTTTTTTTTCCTCCTTTGGGTGCTGGGAATTGTACCCAGTATGTGCTGAACACAGACTGTACCACAAACCAAACCCCCAGCCCCCATTTTACAGATAAGAAAACTGAAGCTCTTAGAAGTGAGATAACTTCTTATTTAAGGTCCCATCTGCCCTGGAGATCCATAATGCTCATTCAAGTCCATAATCATTCAATCTATAACCCAGGTATTCAGGTGGGGTGTGTAGGCAGTGGCGAGCATCCCCGGGGAACTTGTTAGAAGGGAAGACTTCTTGGGGACCCCAGATCTCCTGAATCAGAATCTGAAATTTAGCAGATCCCCAGGTTATTTGTTTGTTCAAACATTAAAGTTTGAGAGCCCTTGGGTGCTGTGGCTTCATTTTTGTTTTCTTTTTTAAAACTTCAGGCCAAACATGAATAATTTAAAGCTCTGGGGCAGAGGTTCCAACTTGGTTTGCACATTAAAATCACCTGGGAGAGGGCTCTGGACATAAGGGGTGCCCAGGCCACAGTCCAAATCAGAATCCCTGAGGGTGGACAGGTCATCCAGATCTGCAGCCAAGTTGGAGCCAGGCTTGGTGGGTGAGAACTACTGGTTCCCAGGAGAATGAAGCCCTCAGACTCCCTACTGAGAAGCCCCCCTTCACTTCTTGGTAGAAATTATAGAGCTTTTAACTATAATGGGATATTTGAAGAGGAAATATATACCCATCTAAGAATTTCTATGCTAATTTTACAGTCTGTATTCTCAGAATTCCTCTAGTATTCCCATCTTTTTGCAGGGAGCTCAGAACCTGTGTTCTCTTGAGACCACTTACTGCTTTTTTTTTTTTTTTTGGTACCAGTAATTGAACCCAGGGGCATTTAACTTCTGAGTCACCTCCCCAGCCCTTTTTTTATATTTTATTTAGAGACAGTTTCTTTCTTAATCGCTTAGGGCCTCGCTAAGTTGCTGAGTCTGGCTTTGAACTCACTACCCTCCTGCCTCAGTCTCCCGAGCCACTAGGCAGTATAGATTCTTAACTCCACTTTTACAGATAGAGAAACTGAGGCTCAGAGAGGGGGCTGAGTTCCTCAGAGTTGTACAGCTAATGAGTGTCAGAACAAACTAGAACAGTAAGGCAGGTTGTCCTTCCTTGTAGTCTCTTCTGTGCACTCTTCCAGAACAGTGCTTTAGTCTGGTGGCAAATCCCAAGGGTGTAACCTGGGTTTCAAGAAATATTTGGGGTTGCTGTTGTGGTGGAGTGGGTCGGATTCTCTGTGAGCACTGGGTTGGGTCTACTCAGATTTGGAGCTCTGTTCTGCCATTATTATCTTAGGATCTTCGGCAGGTTACTTAATCTCTTTATCCTTCAGTTCTGAATCTATCAAATGAGGATTTAAAATACCTGTCTTATAGAGTTGCTATGAGCATTAAACAAGGTAATGTGTATAAATTGTTTTCAATAATAATGATGATGATATTCCAGCAGCCACCAGAATTGTGCAGATGCCTGGCTGGTTCCCACCACAAGGTAGACAACTACATAGATATTAGGAAGAACTGGGCATGATGGCATACACTTGTAACTCAGCAACTCCGGAGGCTGAGGTGGGAGGATCACAGGTTTGAGGCCAGCCTCAGCAACTGAGTGAGATCCTGTCTCAAAAAACATAAATAAATAAAGAGGGCTTGGGATGTAACTTAGTGGTAAAGTGCCCCTGGGTTCAATCCCCAGTACCAAAAGAGAAAAAATATATATATATATTAGAAATATATTACTAATGTTCTGATAAAGAAATATTCCATATTAATCCAATGAGGATTAATTATTACTTTATTAAGTGCTTACTGTGTGTTCTATTTATATATTTGGTCTATGGGAATCTACAGAGAGAACACCTGGCAATGAATTCCAACTTTCCGGTCCTCTGCAGGATGGTTGCAAAGTCTGCCCCCTGCTGGCTAACATCTTGGCTCTAAAAGCAGGACTTTAAGTCAAAAATGTCACACTCTTCTTGTTACCACAAGCTAACCAGGGGCTGCAGATGCGGGAGGCATAGAGCTTATCAAGTGCGGAGGAAGGCTAAATTTTCAAATGAGTCAAGTTGAGACATGGCACTTGCAATCTGTAATGTTGACTGTACTAGTTTTGCATGTGTGATTTACATTTGGAATACTACATTGCTCATCAATATTCTGTTTGCCTTATCTCCCACTCTTTCCACAGATGTATAGTTCTCTAAGGACTCAGGTATATCTTTGTATACTCTAGAGCATTTAGTGAGACAAATTAGATAGCACATGTCCTCTGCATGTGTCTGTAGTACTGAGTTACATATTATCATGGAATTTCAAAAAATTGGAGACAAACAGGAGATCCAACCAACTGTCAGAGGGATAAGAAAAACTGGTTTCATAAACTATTTTACCAAAAAAAAAAAAAAAAAGAAAGAAAGAGGGACAAAATGTCATTAGAGGGCTGGGGTTATGGCTCAGAGATAGAGTTATTGCCTAGCACATGCAAGGCCCTGAGTTCAATCCCCAATACCTCATAAAAATAAGCAAAATAAAATGAAAGTATTGTGTCCAACTACAACAAAAAATGTGTCATTAGAGTTATCGAGCCTAGGAATGGTCCATCAGTGGAACAGTGCCTTCTGAGGAAAGAGTATTTCCTGCCTATAATTCTGTACCCAAGCTGGAAAAGAATCAAACATGTCCCGACGTGCAGAGTTCCAAAAATGGGGACTGTCTTATCTCCCATCTCAGAAAGCTGCTAAAGGATATGCTCCACCAAAACAAGGGAGGAAACCTAGGAAGAATAAGATTGAAACAGGGATTCCAACACAAGGGACAGGTGACAGGAAGTACCACGCTAAAGGAAAAAAACCACAGGTGGACGGCAAGCAGAAGGAAGCAGAAGAAGAGGCAGCCTGTTCAGACTGAAGCTGGTCTGAAGACTTGAGGGAAGATTTATTCAAGGTGATATTGGTAGTATTATTATTTTTTTAAATATTAAGAGGAGGTTTCCACAATTGGGGGAGAATGAGGGATTGAACTAGTGATAAGAGCCATAACTTTAGCTGAATACATGGCAGAAAGGCATGATTAATTTTGGTGGAGCTGTGGAGGAAAGGAGAAATAAAATCATGGTATACCTTAAATGATGTCTCAGTTGTTCATAGCATGGACACAATCAGATCATGTGAACACGGAAGGTCACATTGTATAGACATCATCCTGGGTGATCTGACTTTTCTGGGAGGGTGGGTGAACGGGAATGGGCACACATGTGTGGTGGTTGTCTGCCGTATTGGAAAGGCTATGTCTTGTGAACACTTAACATGGCAAAAATCAGGAAGCGTCAGTGTACTCGTGCTATTTAGAACTTGGAGGTAAATCCCCAAAGAATCATCGAGCTGTTAGCCGCTGTCAGAGAACAGGAAAGGGGGATAGACAACTGGTATTTTTGATAGGTGACTGTTTTTCTTTAAACTATGCCTAATTCTCATTTTTTTAAAAAACAAAATAACCCTCCACATTTAAACGACAAATCAGATTAGATGGCGATCTAGCTGCTTTCACTAAGATGTCTCGTGTGGTCAGCTCCATCCTGGATCTGATAATATGCTTGCTAAGAGGGACACCAAGACTCCAGCCCCGGAGCTAACCTGTGACCTGCAACGCTGCACCAGGATATCACCACCTCAGAAAAATCAATGTGTCTTCAGAGGCCTTAGGAGCCACATCCTAATCTTGTTGGCCCTTCTGCGACCTTTTTGTTATTTTAAATATCTTTTGTGCCTTGAAGATTCTAGAGAGTCTCATCCCTTCCAGTTACAACTCAACTCTGTCTGGGCATCCAAAGAGCCATGCTGCTGTCTGCTCCTCTGGAATCCTGTGGATGGACGGCAGCTGGCCCACAGTCATGGAAGCCCAAAGCCTGAGAACCTTCCCTCCTCACACTCGTCGGCACCCACTGGCTCCTGCCTTCCCTCCTCGCCCTTCCCACCACCGCCATCTTAGTGCCCTGTCATGGCTTCTCACCTTGGCCTGGCCACTGCCTCCTCCTCGTTCTTATTCCTTCCGTTCACCATCACCTGCTCCTTGGGGCTTTCCAGTTCTCTCCAGGTCTCTCCCCCTCTGGCTCTCAGAGGGCTCCCATCCTCAGCTTAGCACACAAGTCCTTTGTGACGTCGCTCTGGCCGCATCTCAGGCCACCACCCACAACCCCCTTTTGCTCCGGATGGGTGGAACCAGCCGCTGCTCCACCAGTGTTGGGAAGCCACCGCCCGGCCTGTGCCCCCTCAGTGCAGGGCCTGCCCATCGCCTCCAGGAAGCCGACCCCAGGCCCAATCGTGATCTAGAAGCTTCTTCCCCACGCTGTACGTGCACCTGATAGGAGATCCCGCCATCCTTTCTCATAAATGCTGATCGACTCCAACTCGCCCACTTCCTGTGAGTCCCGTTTATATTGAAATTCTAGCCTGAGCCCCACATCTGGCTCACAGAAGGGACACGGAGGACTGACTTGACTTCTCGGGTACATTTCTTCGGGGAGATGACCTCAAAAAGACGACAACATGGCCCACTCGTTCCGGACACTCGGGTCCTCTTTCTTCCTTTTGTTTCCTTCTGTCTCTTCCAGGGTGCCTCCCCTGTAATATTTGGGCCCCCCCGACCACCCTTCACAAAGCCCAAAGGGTGGACGGTTGAGAGGGCGTCCCTGTGCCAAGGGGCAGTCTGGATTCCTTCCTTGATCAGCTCCTCTCAGTTCAGGGCTTTTCTGAGTCTGTCCTTGAAGGGATGTTGCCCAGGGCCTGCCCAGACCTGAGGGCAGAGGAAGACCCGCTCTCCTTAGGAGAGAGTCGAGGATGAGGACTCCTCCCTGGACATTGTGTCCAGGACACATGAAGCCGATTTCTCAGGTCCCTGGAAAGACAGGAGATTCTGGAAAGGCCTTAGATGGAGTTAGTCCTTCACTAAAGAAAAGGCCCGGGGATGTGGGTCCCGTTTTATTTCCTCAGCTGGGTGTCCTGGAGTGTTGAGGGCCGCCCACTTTCTTTCTTTCTTACCTTTTATGTATTTTAAGTATTTCTTAATCAGAAAACAAAGATGTTGCTCCCAACTCCAGATATGAGAAAGACCTAACTAAAACACACCAGTCGAAGAGGAAGGAGATATTTAAATGGTTTGGTTTTGCATAATCTATAGAAAGCCCTGTTTGCATAGCCGACCAGAGGAACTCCGTGCAGCTACAGTTGTTGGTTGTCAGGGGAACAGTCAGAGGTAGGTGGATGACAAAGCAGAGGGGCACTGACTGACTGGGCAGGGTCATGGGGCTGGAGCCATCACTCTGGAGAAAGGACCGACAGGCTCTTCTGGCGCAGCCTCTGAGTTTGTCAGGGATTAAAGGGTAAACCCCAGACCCAGGGAACTGGGTGGGAACCATTCATTTCCTGGGCCACTGAACCTCCTGCAGGCCAGGCCCTGTGCTGGGTGAAGGGGAAACAAACCCAACAAAGATGAGTTTCTTGCCCTCCAGGGATCCACGGACCACTCGAGTGAGACTGGATCATCACTGGGAGCACAGTGAGGGCCGTGGTCAAGTTCCAGGCTGGCCCATGGGTTGACCAAGCGGGGGGCCAAGGGAGCTTCTCAGGGAGATGTTTGGACAGCGTCTTGAGCAATCGGTAGGACTTGCCCAGACTGTGGCAGGTGTTGAGGATCTCGTGGACCCTCCTGCCCTCAGGGAGCCTGTGGTCTAGGTGGAGGACGAGCGTCAAACACTTCCGTACACAACTAAGGAAAATTAGGGTAGGTGCTGTGAGTGTTGGTAACAATTACAAATGTCCTAGATCTTAAGAGAGATCTTGAGGGAGGGTGGAGCTCCCTGGGAGAGTGGCACAGGCTGTAACCCTACAAATTAGGAGGCTGAGGCAGAAAGAAGGATCCCAAGTTCAAGGCCAGCCTCAGCAATTTAGCAAGGCCCTGTCTCAAAATTAAAATAAAAAGGACTGGGATGTAGCTCAGTGGTAGAGGACCCCTAGGTTCAATCCAAAAAGAAGGAGAAGAGAAGAAGGAGAAAACTCATTTGGCAAAAAGAGGGGAAGGGCATTTCTGGGAAGAGAGAACCTGCGAATATACCAAGGCCCTGAGCCAGGAGGGAGCAGGGCCCTTGGAAGGAGCTGACCCAAGCCAGTGTGGCTGCATCAGAGTGAGGGAAAGAGGTGAGAAGAAGTGGGTTGGCATAGGCCTTATTAAAGGGATTAAAAAAAAAAAAAGAAAAACTCTATCTTAAGAGCAAAGGGGAGCCACTAGAGGTCTGAAGCAGGTAAGAGACTCATCAGATTCATCACTTGGTGAAATTCTGGTTACTCTGAAGAGAATCCATTTGTGGTGGGGACAGAGAGACCTCTTGAGAGGCTGTCATGGTCACCAGGTGAGAATGGATTCTGCATTGAACAGGAGCAGCAACAGGTTAGAGAGGGGTGGGCAGGTGGCCCTGGGCTGGCACTGTGGGGTACGGGTGGGGAGGTCAGAATCAGGAACACACCCTGCCTGGGTTTCCGGGGGGGACTGTCGGGGCAGATGGAGCTGCTACCCAGAGGGAGACCTGCAGCAGCAGCCTTAAAATCTTACAGAGAAGGAAGTGAAGTTGCAGAGGAATAGCGCCTGGGAGCGATTGCCGGCTTCCTGTTGCACTCTCCCCGCTGAACTTGACGGTGTCTTCCACTCGTCCTGACCACGGCCTCAGTTGCTGCCAGACGAGGCCAGAGAACCGACCTTAAATCCCGAGTGTGGATTCCCACGGAGACCCAGGAGTCACATTTGATGGAAGGAAATGCGTGCAGAGCTCCTCTTGCCTCTGTAGCAATTGGCATGGCCATCCTGTCCCCCTCGCCTCCTCCAGGCGAGGGTGCTGTGCATGGGGTCTCGGGGGGGACTGCTCTGATTCACCTGAATCTGTGAATAAGTAGAAAAACGAGAAATAAACAGTTCAAAACAAACCCCAAAGGGAGATGGATTCCTTTTAAGCTTTTCCAAGCCGGCTGTGGTGTGAAGCCCCTGCTGCCCGGTGCCAGCCAGCCTGGGTTCTGAGTAGTCCTTGAGAGTACCACCTGGGCTCTCCCATGGGGAAACCAAGGGTGTGGCTGCACCCGGCTTTTCTCCAGTCACTTTTTCTTTGCACTAGAGAGTTGGTCGTAAATGACAGGAGCCCAGCTTGAACCAGCCTAACCAGAGAGGGTGGTTTCGAGAACACTGAGATGGGGGAGGGAGATGGTCACAGATGTCATGGAGGAGTTGACGGGTCAAGTGGCAGGAAGGGCAGGGTGTGGCTGAAAGCTCTGGAGCAACCAGAACCTAGGGCTGCAACACGCTCAGGACTCTTGCCTTCTCTGATTTCTTCCTGACCGTCTGCTTCCATCGTCCCTCTTCCTGAAGACTAGTTTTCTCCAGAGGACAGTCCAACATGGCAGCCAACCCCACTGGATATCGTCTCTTAACAGTTTCAGCTGCCTGGGAGAGACTCCGAAGACATTTTTATCCTAGATGCAAACTCCCAGGTGCCCATGCCCAGCCTCATCCACCATAACTTTGGCAGCAAGGGACTTACAGAAGAACAGGGCAGCTCCCAAAAGCTGTTGGAGTGGAACAGGGGCAGGTCTCAGAATGAGATCAGCAGTCCACCAGCCAGATAAAATATGATGATGCCTTCCACTACCTGTATGCATCGAGAGTCGAGTACCTTTAGAAATGAGGCACCGACCACAAAAGTTGTTACACCTCTTTTCTTCTTTGGATCGTTCGTTCAAAGAAATGTGAATCTGTGCTCTGGGTCTACGTCATTCATCTCTGACTTAGAGTTAACTGTTTTCTTATTTTCCTTTAAAGCAGGGATCATTTTTTTTTTGTTTGATTTTCATTGACAGAGGCTTTATAAACAAAGCTGCAACATTCTATCAAAAAAATAAAATGAAATAAATGAAATGAAATGAGGCACCCAGGGCCCTGTTCTGCCAGTGCTCGGTGACATCATCCTCTTGAAAGGACCATCCCATTCACCATGGTGTGACTCAGGAGCATCGCCACCTTCAAGGGCTGCCTGTATCCAGAATTTCTCATGCACAGTGATCTGTATGATTCTGAAGATGACTCAAGACCCCGAACACAGCTTTGTAGCTGCAGCTATTTCTGCAGATACAATATTTGTAGGGATCTCAGTATGACTGCTTTCCTTTCTTGTCTTTCCTGACTTATTTTTCATTCCCTAATTTCCTGTTTCGTCCCCAGTGCTCCCAAGAACTCATTTATCTTTCCAACAGGAGAGCATGTTTCTGGCTTTCTGACCCCCAAAGCCCAGACTGACCTACTGAAACTCTGCTTCTGAGCAGGGGTCCAGACACCAGTGTTTTGAGATCATGTCAGGTGGGGTGGGGATGACTCAAGGGTGGCAGCTGTCCATCCCAGGAAGACAGGCTGCCCTGTCTGGGGTGGTGGGACACACTCCCACACCCACTTCTTCCCATCCCTAACCTTCACCGTGTCTGGCTTACCTCCTCTGATCCCTCCTCCGCACCTGTCTCCACCTCCGCTTTCTCATCTGTGTGCCCCACACCTCCCACCTTCCTCCCCTTAAGCTATAGTTTGGATATTTAATGTCCCCACAGGCTCCTGTGCTAAAGGCTCGTTCTTCAGCTTGGTGCGATTGGAAGGTGGTGGAACTGTTAATAGGTGGGGCCTAGTGGGAGGTCTTCTGGTGCCTTGATGGGATAGTGGGACCCCTGGTCCTTCCTCTGCCTCTTTTCCTTCCTTTCTTTGCTGAGGATTGAATCCAAGGCTTCACACGTGCCAGGCAGTTGCTTTTTCACTGATCTGCACCCCTGGCTTTGCTCCCTCTTTTCCTTCTCTTCCCAGCAGGAGATGAATGGCTTTTCTCCACTGCATGCTACCATGGTCTCCCTGCCATGATGTGCTGAAGCACTACAGGCCCCAGAGCAGCAGGGTCAACTGAGTGGGGACTGACACCTCCATAACTGTGAGCCCAAGTTAGCCCTCTGCCTTTATAAACTGGTTATCATAGGTATTTGTTACAGTAATGGAAAGCTGACTAACTTTAGGGCCGGTTCATGACCCATGTTGCACCCAACTCCTCAGCACCCCTTCACTGGACTACACCTGCCCAAAGCAACTGGGCCAAGTGACCAAGGACTGAAACATCTGAAACCACGAACCCAGATGAAACTTTCCTCCTTTAGATAGCTTTTCTCTGGTATTTTGTCACAGCAATGAAATGCTGACTAACACACTCTGGTTAATAAAAATTCATTGAATATTTCAAGATGACTGGTAGAGAAGATTTCGAATGTTCCCAACACAAAGAAATGATCCATGTCTGAGTGATGTATATGCCAGTTACCCTGATCTGATCATTGTATATTATATACATGTACTGAAATATCACCCCAGAAATGTATACAACTGACTGTGTTGCTTACATTTTTCTAAACATTTAGAAATACGTCGACTTTAAAGATTAAGTAAATAACAGTAGAGATGTTTCACGGAGGCCGCAGAAATGGTGGTGATGATATGTTGACTGAGTTAGAGAGATAAGTGTAAACTGAGATAGGAAATAGTTACCAGATTTATGTGATGGCAACGGCTGTGTTGTATAATTGCTCTGTTGGTGTGGCCCAGCTCTACCGGTGAATCAGGTAACCACAATGTGAAACTACTGACACAATCTGTTTCCATCTCCCCACAGCCTCGGTGGCACATGGCAGGGACTCATTCTCCCTCGTGTGCCTGGACCCACGTATCATCTCAAAACCTTGCTTCCCTCTGTATCCCAGACACTCACTTTCTTTAGAAGGTGACATAGCCCTACCATCTCCAGGGCTGTCGAAAGGCTGCCTGTGGCCAGTGGGTTGGACAGGTTTGGGGCATCAGAAAGGTCTTGACATTGCTACAATAAATGAGGGGTGGAAAGAGGGCAGGGATGGGGGGTGCTGGGGTAGTGACACTCATTTCGTTCATGAGCTTAGCAAACATTGTTGTCCTAACTGTGTGTCTGGCACTGCTCCAAGCACAGGGGACGTCATGGTGAACATATTGACAGTGTCCTGAACTTCTTGAAATTCATAACCCCTGTGGATGAGACAGTCCACGGAGCTTGTGCAGTACCATGCAAGGTAGCAAAATGGAGGGTGAGACAGTAGTTAGGGCAGACCTTTCTGGGGAAGAGCCATTTGAGCTCAAGGGAGGAAAGAAGACACATGGAGGTCACAGTCAGGACTCTGCAGCCAGGAGGCAGGTCAAGTCTTCAAGAGGAGACACTAGTGGGAACCGGCCCTGTGTCCACTTAGAAGCCAAGGGACTCATGAGCACCCAGTGTGTAAAGCAGGAGGACTTATGAACACACTCATCTTTCAAATGTGCCCCAGGGTGCACGTGTACACCCAGCAGCGACAGCAGCACACCCTGGCATGAAGCAGAGGGCAGTTCCGTGACCTGACGTCACTACTCAGGACATCTAACTCGGAGGAAGAACAGGGACTAGTATTTTGATGGCTGGCAATTTGTTTTTGAGGCCAACGACTGGAACCACTCAGCCACCTGAGCCTCCACTGAAAACCAGACGATCAAGATACGGTTGGCATCAGACATGATAGAAATCATGGCACGGCACATTCTATTTGGTTTCAGTGCGTCTGCCTCCCGGATTCCCCTCTCTTACCCTCGCTCCAGTCTCCAGCTATCTTATTCCCTCTCTAGTCTCCCGTGAATCAGAAAAACTAGGAGGAGGAGTGGCAAGTGAAAATTCTGTCCACAGTGTGAATGGCTGATGTGACAAAGTGTCAACTCTCACTCGGAGCATTTGCTTTTGATTCTAACAAATGTTGCAAGTCATAGGAACAACATTTTAAGAATAGGATTTGAGGCCGAAAGAGGTCACCTGTTTTTAGGAAAGTATATGTATGTGGGGGGGGGGGTGTTAGGCTGGGATTGGGGCAGGTTCTTATGTCCCTGGGATCCTGTTCCAGGGCCCCCAGTCATCTCTCGGAAAGAGCTCCTCTCTCATTTGCTGCTCTCCGAGGGCACTTGACACGGTCACTTTAGCACGAGAACATTTTGTCAAAGGGAAATTTTAGCATCTTTAAAAAGCTATAAAGCTTGTAATCTCTCACAAATGAGTATAAAGTAATGCACCCAAGTCTTCCTCCAGTTCCAGACTTTGTCATATCCTTCATCGTCTCTCTTTCTTCCTGCTTACCAGCAGTGACACGCTTCAGTTGACAAGTCGAAATGTCCCCCGAGTCAAAGATCTCGCCTTACCTCAAGAGGGCTGACTCCCCGCAGGTACAGGAGACTCCGGGCTCTCTAAATTGTAACAGCTGAAGAGCTCTTGATGTCTTCTAGTCTCGATCAGATCCAGGCTGCTGCCCTGGATGGAGCATGTTTTCTACCAGCAGCTGGGTTTCTTGAGTCTGGGGGGATGGCTGTGTTTTTACCCAGGGGTCTACCCAAATTTGACAAGTACACATGTATTTCATAAAGGGTAGAGATGGGCGGTTGGTGTAAGATATTCAAAACAGTCCAATGACTCCCCCCCCCCGCAAATGTAAGAAATCACTAATTTATATATCTGATCTATATATCTCAGGTCAAAGAAAAATTTGCTTTATAAATGTCACCTGATACCCACCCTGGCTGTGTGCGCTGTGTTGATATTTTCACTATGGGCAACCAGTTTAGGTCGCACAAAATCAAATCTAGATTTCCTGACCCAAATATGAGCTTCAGAGGCAGTCTTTGAGGGCTTCGCAGAGAAGGGACTGATTCATTTTGGGTGGAGTGAGGCACGTGTTTTGTGAGACTGTCGTGCTTTGGGGGAGGTGACCCTTATTCTCCTTCTATAAAACAAACATCACAAAAATTTGGATCTAAAACAAACAAACAAAAAAAAAGATTTAGCCTCTGGCTTCCCTGGTTCAGGTGAGCTGAGGTTGAGAGAAGAGCCAGAAAGAGCTGTCAAGTGCCCGGGTGAGACTTACTTCTGCTTCTCTGTCACCTGTCACGACCGTATTGCAATCAAGACTGAAATCATTCCTCAGCCACACGTTTCAGACTGAGGTCACTTCTTCTTACGGCCTTAAAGGTCAAGAAAGCCAATCGGCTGACACAGGCCTTTCTCCCCTGCCAGTCTGCCCCCGGAGGCTGTTGAGTCATCTTGTCTGGATGACTGGGCTGACAAAAACAGGTTTCAACAGGTGGGTCCCATGGCAGAAGCAGGGTGGCAGGACAGCATGGTGGAGCAGGGTTGTTGTATTGGAATCTGGGGATCAGGGTTGGATCTTCGCTCTGTGAAACCATGTTGATCTCATTGGGCTTTGGATGAAATCAGACGCCGCTGCCTAAGAAGGTTCCAGGGAGATGGTTGGTGCTTGACAAATGGAACCTAACGGGACTTCCACTAAAGACCGAGGGCAGCCTAAAAGGGGATGTGATTCACTTTGACCTTCACGGTGAAATGCCTTCAGAGGTTGTGTATGGAGACCAGGTTGATCCCTGAACCCATGGAGATTTGCATCCCTGCCGTTCATTCCCACATCCGTCCGTCTATCTATCTACTTATTTATTTGTTACCTTTGCAGTACTGGGGGGTTGAGCCCAAGGGTGCTCTACCTCTAAGCTACCTCCCCATCCCTTTTGTACTTTTTAGTTTGAGACAGGGCTTTGCTAAGTTTCCCAGGCTTGGCCTTGTGATCTTGCGTCAGCCTCCTGAGTGGCTCAAGATTTCAGGCATGGGTCACCGCACCCAGCTCACATATCTCTTTAGAGCTGTGCCCAGGGAGACACTGTGAAGAAGCCCAAAGAAGTGCCAGCCCATAACTAGAGTTCAACGGTCTATCCAAACCTCAGCCAAAGGAGTGGTTGGCTACCTGAGGTGGACCTGTGGGGAGGTCCAGTTCTCTCTAAGATGCAGAGAGGGATGCGGAGGGAACCAGGTTGGTGGGTCTCCACAGTTCCCTGTCTTGACACTAGGTGGCAGCACCAACTGAGGACGGCTGCTCTAGTGGTTTGGGCTGTGATCTTGGGAAACGCCCCCCAAACACACTGAGCTCAAGTTTGCTGTGCAGCTCTGACTTTGGAGGCAGCAAAGATGAGTCTGAGTCCTGTCTCCACACTTGGCTGTGTGACCTTGGGAGAACCCTTTAATCTCTTGTGATCGAGTTTCTTATCTGTCCAATGGGAACACTGTCCCTAAAACAAGAATACAGAAAATGAGGTATCAATAGCAGTCGCTATCCTCCCTCTTGAGAAGCTTAATGGCAGGGTCGCCTTCCTTCTCCATGCACCACTTTTAGTTTGGACCTTTCTCTTTCGAGAACACCCAATGCTTATTTCTAGTAAGCACATAGATAAATATTTTGGGGTGGGTGAGAAGGCAGGGGAAGGTCTGTAGTGTTATTCTTCTAGAATAGACTCAACTTTCCCCCTTCCTTCCATTCCTCCTATACTTTCTCTTTCTTTTTATTTTCTTTCTTCTACCCAAGGTGTCTCTGTGTGTGTGTGTGTGTTAATTTTATATGTTTTAAAAATATGTAGGCTAACCACCTGCTCTATGCAAAGCCCTTGGCTAGGCAGGGACAGGTGGGGACCAAAGGGAGAAGAAAGCAGAGTTATAAAGACACACTGGAGAGCTCCTTCTCCTGAGGTGCTCACACCCCCTAGGTGCTAAAAGCTGATATCCAGGTGGTGTGCACCCAGTGCAGCTGAACTGATTGTCAGGATATTAAAAGAGTTCCTCTGTAGCTGGTCAACAGCCCCTGCCCAAGTGCCCCACCATGAGCAAAGCAGAGGCAAGCTTTGACCCTGCTCCAGTCCATTCTGATTGCCTGGCCTGAATTTTGAATCTTGACCCTGAACAGCTGGTATATCAGCCAACTTCGTGTTGCTATAACAAAATACCTGAGGCAGACTACTTATGAAATAAAGGGAGGTTTATTTAGCTCATAGTTTTGGAGGTTCAAATTCAAGGTCAGGTGGCCTTATTTTGGGGGGTCTCTAGCAATGGCAGGAGCACATAGTGAATGGAGCAGTCACATCTTAGGAAGATATTCTCTTCCTCTGTGGTCCAGAGGACTGTTCTTTGTGTGGTGTTTGTGTGTGCAGAGTGTGGGACATGGGCAGCTGGTGATGCAGTCAGAACAACTTCCATTGCCCATCGTCATGGAAGCAGGGCTTTGAGTAACAGAATGGAGACTGAGGAGTGGACTAAGGTGGATCTCCTTTGGCAGAGCCCTGTTCTGGACTCCAGCTTGCCTTTTCTGTGAT